GGCGTCCCTTACGGGTGATGTGCTTCCCGTCCGACAGTGTCTGTATGTTGATCGTGACTCTGCTCTATCCGGACCCGGAGTCCAGACAAGCGGCGAGACCTTAATTGCGACGCTAGATGTCATACTCTCGCTCACCGCTTGTCCGAAGAAGGTGGCCAAATCGGGATGTATGCTGTTTATTCTTCAAGCCCGGTGCTCGGCGGCTTCCACAGCCATGGCTGAACTGACCTGTTCCCCCCGCCACGCGCTTGTGCCCATTTCCTTCACCCCGCGCATGCCCTTCGATCACCCTCCACATCATCACCAATGTTCGGCATCCAAAGTCCTGACAATATGTACAAATATAACCATTGTCCTCCCCTACTGATTTTTAAATACCAGTCCTCTCCCAGCCCTTGATTGTTATGAAGGAAGACTTTTGATTTAAGAGGTGATAGGATCGGTGTTCGTGGTGCTGGACCAACCGCTTATTTTGAAAGATGAGGTCTCTGCGTGCGTTTCGAGAGGTCGTCACTGCAGTGGGAGGAGTTACGAGGGAGAGAAATAGGATGATTACTTGCATGAGTCGTATAAATTTATTGTTTGCCTTTAAGTATGAATTGCAGTCTCTTACTACTAATATTGGTGAGGATCCAACAGTGCTTAACGCAAGTCGACCAAAATGCACGGAATCTTTAGCGAGTACTATAAGCGAGACATATAGAGCCACCACTAGCAAGCCATTGTCGAACTTGGCTGCACAAAGTAATCCAACTTCGTCTAACATGCCACATATATCAATGGGTAAAGCAGACAGACCCGTACGCATGTAACGGCCACTTGGCATACCAGTACACCACGTTCTCATACGCGTCTGCCTGTGATTTATGATGGGGGATAGCACTTGCCTGCACAACGGATAGCTGGCATCTCCTCTGGGAATCCTCCTCCTCCACTCATCCTTCTCTTCTATTTGAATGTTTATTGATATATGTCTTACTGGTTCTTACATGTCCGTTGTTTAGTTCAGAAAAATTATTTCGTACATAACATGCCCTCTTTGAGGCAGCCGTGTGTCCAATTTCGTTATCACTCGTTTAAATTTATTCTATACAGGTATTCGACGAAATAACCCTAATAATGTTTGCAGATATCTGTTTTGTTCGCTAGTGCAGGCATTTATTTAAAATTCGCTTTTTTAACTCAGATTGCTAAAGTTTCACAAGTTTGTCCCACGCTTCACGCTGTGCAATAATCTAAAGCCAACTAAACGCTGAACGGTTTTCATGGGTGTCAGCTGGGCTTAGTGAGTTAGCGCAACGATCTGGAACTGGTTTCTTAATGTATCGATATATCTATATCTATATATATATATATATATATATATATATATATATATATATATATATATATATATATATATATATGTATATATATATATAGGTGAGGCAGAGTAGCTTGAGAACAATGGACCGGGAAAATGTAAAAAGTCAGCGATCCGTACTTGCGGAGCTGCTATGCTAGAAGTTTATTGTATGTATTACGACAGTTTCGCCAAGAGGCTCGGCTTCGTCAGGAGATGGCATATATATATATATATATATATATATATATATATGTTGTGCACGCTTCTGCAGTGAGCGCTAAAAAAAATTATCACGACTGGCCAAAGGCTGAAGCTAAGAAATTACTACGCAAAGCGCAGCGTTGCTCCGAATGTACTGAGATCGGGAGAGCGAAATTGACCGGACCGTTGCAAATTTGGGAAATCGAAGTGCGCTCTCGGCAGATATCGCCTGATTGCCTTTTTTATGTAGATACTGTATATTATGATGCCTTTCAGTTTCGCGTCCTAACGCACCAACGACGTTAAAGCCGCGGATAAAAATATATCCTTGATTTTAATCAGTAGACCCATCGGGGTGGTTCTGATTTGAACCCGTTCGCATTTCTACCTTCTCGTTTTTACCTTCTCATTTCAACCCAGCGTAAAACAACTTTTGCGTTTCTCCCTTTCTCATTTAAACCATTCTCAAAACAAACTTTCGGGTTTTGACCCTTCTCAAAACGACTTTTCTCATTTTAACCTTTCTCATTTCAAATTTTCTCAAAACATACTTTCTGGTTTTGACCATTGTCAGAAAGACTTTTCTTATTTTAACCTCTCTCATTTCGAACCCAAAATAATCCAACATCACGATCTCGCCATCTTTCTTCAGTATTTATGGCGAATTCGGGTAATTAATTGCCTTCGAGCCCTTGCCAGTGGCACCGGCGACCAAAAACGCGCCAGCGGCGCATCACGTGACCCTCTCCACCCGAATGCAAAGCACAATGAACAGGCGTTTTTTTTTACTGTGTCGCGAGTGAGCTCTGTTAACTTCTTCTTCGATCATCCTATGGTACCCTGAGCACGCTGCATACGCCAACAACATAAATTACGACTCTTTGAGATGTCTGTATACAGAAGCGGCTTCACAAAACTTTTCAAAATATTGGCATTACCACAGTCCATACAGCTGATAGAATATTTCCATAAACTTCGTTTGGATTTTCGATTAACTGGTGCCACGGAGGCTTGCCAGCGTCGCTTTTCATAATCTGTTTACTGTTAGTAGAGTGTTTTAGTAGATCGTTCCCATGACTCCGATAACGATTCCCGATACTCTGCCACCGCCTCCCTTGCGCCTGCATTGTATCGTTATCGGGGCTATCGGGGGTATTAGAACGATCTACTAAAACTGGCTAGTACCTTTGTTGGAATCCTCAGTCTTCTCATTGCACCCACCCTCCTTGAAATCGTAATGCGTGTTCAAGTTTCAAACTGCATCACTATGCATACTTTTTTTTTAGCGGTGTAATAACTTGTTATTACAGAGTTGTAAAATAAAGTGATGTATGATGCAGCCCCTGTCTCAGAGCAAACACACCTTGCTGAGGCTGGATACATTCTTCCAAAAATGTTGACTTTCTTTGAAGCATAAATTATCTTTCTATTCGTTTTTTTTGCTACCTTGTCTCAGAGCACAAAAGGGTGCCTGTCTCGATGGCTTCCTTTGCCACTCGAACCCACTACTTGCCGCCTCAGCGAGCATTGTTTCGTTTGGTTCCCTAGCTCGATTCGGATGTGACGATACCGGATACAGTCTGGCAGACAAGCTGCCCGACCTCTTGGCGCTCGGGAAAACCTCGGCTGGTAAATTGCCGGTACACGCCTGAGAAGAGCAACCCGAAAAGCTTGCCCCCTCCAGCTTCTGACTACGCGAACGCCCTTGCCGAAGATATGGGAAAACTTGTTGTCGGGGAAAATGACCACCCGATTTGGCCATTAGAAGCAATAACACACGACTAGCACAATGATCCATCCGCTCCACACGACGACATCTTAACGACATACAGCGACAGAGGAGTAATGAAGTATCGAATCTGCGCTAGCACTTTTGAAACCACGTCACAATGTGACCGCGTAGCTACGTCAACAGATTCGGGGTGGCACGCAGGCATAAGGAAAATTGTTTCATGTGGTATGCAAGAGATGGTGCCGCTTCGCTTCATCTTCAACCTTCATCCTCAACTGTTTTTCTTTCTTTCTATGCCTCACTACGGTGTTGAAATGACAACGGGCTCAAATGAGAAAGGGTCGAGACGCGAAAGGTTAAAACGCGAAGGGCGTTTTGCGAATGGGTTTAGACGAGAAGGGTTCAAATGAGAATGGGTTCAAATGAGAGGGGTTTAAATAAGAAAGGGTCGAAACGCGAAAGGTCAAAACGAGAAGGGTGTTTTGCGAATGGGTTCAAACGAGAAGGGTTCAAATAAGAATGGGTTCTTTCGAGATACACCCGACCCATCGTACACAGTCATGCATGAATGACGAAAGCGGGAATCGGAAATTCTTTCGATTGAAAGCACGCTTTCTGAATGGCTGCCGCCTGCCGACCTCCAGCGTGTGTCAAACAAAACTGTACCTTAGTGGCAATGTTGTTCCCGCTGTGTTTGCGCGTCTGCAGCGCCACGTGTCACCCCCCTCGCCGGTCTGGCAAGTGCTCACTTGTGAAAAGTTTTTGCACCAAAGACTTTGCATCGATATTGTTTCTGTGTGCTGCCAAATTTCCAAACGCAAAAACATCAGCGATCTTGAACTATTTGCGATTTTTTATATATATTGATAACGTGCACTAATTTTTTCGCGACGCAGAGGTGGCGCGGCTTGTGTCATGGCCTTAGGACGGACATCCACGTCAACGCCTAGCCCATTCCTTACCGGTAAGGACGTCCTCGCAATGTCGTATTGAGCTCCGTATTCTTGCAGACAGTTCGGCGCGCCGCTCAACTTTTTGGAAGTATAAAATACAGCAGTCTTATTTTATATAATTTGTTTTCTTAAACCTTCTCGTTAGCTATAAGCTCAAAAATTTACTCTATATGCGGGCTGCTACGTTTAGCATAGAATTATAAAATCCAATCTCCTTGCTCTGAAGCGTCATTTTTGCAGGTTTCCTGTTGAATGAGTATTAGGTTTAAAATTAAAATTTTAACCTTGGAATAAACTCAAATAATAAAACAGTGGTTACCGTTGTTTTCATAATTCAAATTATAACATTCACAACTCAGGTAATTTATTTCCAAATATGGGAAATTGTTTTCGTAGTGGGTTATACTAAAGACGAACGCCGAAAAATTGATAAAATATTGCTCTTTTTCAATGTATTTTGATTATAAGGTAATCCAACTATACATCTAAAGATGGCTCATTTTTTAATGAATCTACGGTCGCTTTTGCCTTTCGTTCATGGTGTTTTTAGAACACAAAACTAAACCTGTGCTCTACCACATGCATATGCACAGATAAGAAATAAAAAAAAGTAAGGCAAGGTTTGTAAAGCCGATCGGCAACTATCAAACAATTATGCTTCTTCAGATTTTCCACAAGCCCTATACGTCTTTCTCAACACCATTTCGCCAACTAAAATATGCCCGCAATAATTATCATTCAATAAACACGCAATATTTCTAAAATTATTTTTTACATTCGAAATTTTTTGTTAATTGTCAATACTTTATTTTCAAAAATCTGCACAATTACAAGAATAAGTGTGTTGTCTTTTTTTCTGATAAAAATCGAGAAATGACTGTTAAAGATTGCTGTGTTCTGCATTATTCTAAATAGTTAAACCTTTTTGCGATGCTCACTTTTGGTATGGGCGGTAATAAGCAAAAAAGAAAACATGCGCAGGAAAAACCTTTTTTAATATTATTTATATCATGAAAAGAAATCATAATAATCCTTCTTTGGCTGTCCATTTTCGCCCCTACTTTTATCTCGGCACACAGCTCTCGCTAGAAAAGAATCTAACAATTATTTAAATAAGCGAAACCAAAAGCAGCTCATTGCTTATTCAAGCCCAACACCGTCACGCTCAAAAAAAAAAAAGTCCCATGTCCTGCACTATACTTGGCTTCACACTGTCTGAGCGGAGCCGACGCTACTATCTCATGGACCCAATCAAGCACCATCGAAAATGCGCAGTCAAAACGCTCCTCGTCTGTCGGGGTTTTCTATCACCATTTCACACAAATAACGCACAAACTAATGTCAACGATAACGACGTGCTTGCGTCATTATCAGGGATAATGACGCAAACACGGAAAGAAGACGAACGTCTTAAGAATGCACATTCGGCGAGCTCTTGATTGCCTCCGTCGGATCAGAGCGTGGGCTAAGCTCACATTTAGAGTGAAGGGAATATGTCCTAATAACGTTACCTCCGGTTTAGATGATTACCCGTGAAACTACAAATTCAGGCCTTCGAGGTCTTTATGAGGGCGCAAATTGAACTCGCTCTAGGAAGAAATGTAGTAGGGCCAGTAGACGAGGTTAAAGGCCAGGAAGAGCGCCGGAAATGCAACCCGGCTCAGTTGGTCGATCCGCTTGGCATTCACTTTGCCGTTGGGCCGCAATCCATGGACCGTGGTGCGCACTTCCGCATGGCCCGATTTGTCGCACAGCAGCTGAGCCTGAAACGAGAACGGTCGATCGGGCGTCAGCCGGAGTGGAAATGCTTATCGGAATGAGAGCCGTTGTCGAAAGTGAAGCCGAGGGTTTAATTAAGCTGTCCAATAGTAGCCCCAAAATTCCTGTTTTTCTTTGTTTCTTTTTTCTTTTCTGTCGAGGACGTTGTTTTTACAAAGTGGATAATAAAATTGTGTGTGTGTGTGTGTGTGGGGCGAAGAGAAGGGCATCCGACGAAAGAGAAAACCCTAGCGGAAGTGCATTATTCGGCAGAGACGTCAATAATGATCGACTGTGAAGCCAATCAACTTCCCCTGATCCTGTTCAAGTGAGCTGTTTTTCACCTCGTTTCGCTGGATTGAATGGTTAATAACTTTTTAGACCATTTTTGATACTCGTAAGTTCAATAGATAGATTGTTCTATTACATTACCATAAGAAGTGTAGAAAAAATGTTCAAAAATAATAAGTTCGATCAAAGTGGCAGAATTGCTAAAAACTTAAAGGATTACATACCACAAAACATGATGAGATTTACTAATATTTAACATAAGAGTTATTCAGAAAAATAAAAGCCATGTTGATGTTACACCAGGTATAAAGCAACTTGTTAGTGGAGAGAGTTAAAATCGAAAGTTACTGGGACAAGATCTGTTTCATTTGACGTGTAAAGAATAAAATGCAAATAAATATATTATTTTACTACCTTTGCTCGCTCAACAATAAATAAATTAGCCAAACTCAAAACGCCCAACCCATCCAGGATGAATTAGCACACACACGTGGATTATTTATTGCGAGAGTCGAGCTTACGAGTATGCTTAAAAAAACAACAACAATTGTTTTGTGTACGTACAGCGGTATCAATCTTCGGGACGTCACTCGAAGCTTCATTCGAAGTTACCTGGAGCATAAACAAAGAAAACAAGTGCGTGAAAGACCAGCAAAACAAAACAACTCTCCTAACATTCCGCAGGGTGTGCTCGAAAGCATTATTGGCGTAAGAATTTCGAATAAATAAGACAATACACTGAGTGCAATAAAACGATGTACAAAGGCACCTTTAGGTGTTTTAATTATTGTATTAAAATTGCTGATTAAATTATTTTTTTTTTGTTTTTGAAACTTACACAAGTTTCAAGAACAAACTTTATAATTTAAAATCGTATTTTTATGTGCAAAGGGGGGGGGGGGGGGCCGATGATGAAATCTGTCTGGTTGAGGCTGCTACTCATACATGATATAATATAAAAACGGGAATGTTTTACTTAGACAAACACCAGAAACAAATCCTGCAGTTCCAACTGCATGTGGTAAAAGCTATGAGAGTCAACATAAACTGAAAGATTGGTTTCAGTTTTCCTTTTTATGCTTAGGAAACGTGAGAAATATTATGCTTCTTTTTGTTCCCGAAAACCCCGTGTCATAAAATTTGAGAATTATAAATGCACCAACTAAAGACGCTTTTGTGAAAGTTGTCATTGCAATCTGTTAGTTGTTTTTTTACACGCATTTCTTTACGCCCAAATAGCTAGCCGTCAGTAGGACCCTGTACAGAATGAAATAAATGACATAATTTTTTGTTTCCATTGAATTACGTTTGCTTTAAAATGCTTGGCAGGAATATTAGCGTACATGTTTGTAGCCTTATTTAAATATCGATTTCTTTACCACTGTATTATTTGGCAGCTCCATAACTGCCGATGTTTTTCCTGCCGTATGGTAAAAATCCCCATGATAATAGTGGGGTGCTGTCATTGTAAATAGGAATATATGACTACACGAGATTGCAAGGACGTTCATGCTTGATTTTGGGAACACGTCAGTCAGTGAACAATAGCCCCCCCCCCCCCCCCCCCCCCCCCCCCGGTACTCCCCGCGGTGACAAAAATGCATTTTGCAATCCACGGGTTCCGAGAAAGGTGACGTCATTTGACATTGCTGCCAATTATTGAAACCTCGGCTATTGATACGCTGATGAATCATGCCCACTCATAATATCACTGTAATCTCACAATTTTGCTAGCCAATGGATACAAAGCCTTTTTAAAAGTCCATATATATATCACCGCATTTGACGCCTCTTCTCCACGACAAAAACCTCGAGAATAAATGTTATCAGCACATAGCGCTATTATTAACACTATTCAGAAGATTGCACAATTCAGTATGAAAAAGCATTGTGAGAAAGGAATAGGAGCGAGAACATATGCATCCTCTTTAGCCTGAGACTTTACTGCAAAATGTAGGGCGGGCATCGAGTAAAACTGTATCGCGATTAATCGCCACCCTTTAATCGATTAATTAATCGATGAACCGCCAGTGTTTATTTCCATTCATAATAGTTTAAGAAAAGTAAAAGTTAAAATGCTTGTCTTCACTGAATTTGGGAACTGCAAAATGTAAGATTTCGGATTTTACAACAAGCTTGATTTGTACTTGAGAACAGCCAAAAACACCCACACTCACAAATTATTCGTTCGGCACCGCAGAGGCCAAGAGCTTCGTTGATATTCTCCGGCAATAGTGAACTCTTGATTGTTCACATATGTCTCTGCAGTGCTAACCGAAGAATCACACGGCGTTGAGGAAGCTAGGACACGTATAACGTTGTCCGCTTATTTGGAGTGGCAAATCTAGCCCCTACGGGCTAGATCGCCACCTCAAAATTTCCCCCAAAGTACGAAAATTCCGAAATTTCACCTAAAGTTCGCCCTCATACAGGGATACTTGTCCACGTCACCGAAGTGAAAGCATTACTTTTTTTACCTTTTTTAAATAAATTTGATGAAGCGGCTAAAATCTTAATCGCGATTAAGCCATTAATCGATTATTCACTAGGTTAATCAAGAGCCCACCCAACAAAAATAAGAAAAGGGAAAACATACGTTGGCTTTAGCTTGTATCTGCCTTATATACAGTGACGGGCAAAAATGTAAAGTAATAGTGTTTTGGCAGGGTCACGTGGAGTGCAGTAAAAAAAATCGTTATTCCTTGAAACAATGTTTTTTTTATGAACACACATGCAAAATACAAAATTAATTTTAATTCCAATAATCTTTTATGCTCAACTTGATTGTTACATTACAAAGCTTTGTGCATAAAACATTTGGCAACTTCAGAAAAAGGGCCAGAAACAACTTGCACAACAAGGCACAACGCGACGTCCATCGCGTACCCCACCCCCTCATCCTAATATACTGCACAGACCTCGTGTGCTAAATTTACTTACGCACTAGGATTATTACGAAGTGCGGATTTACATGTCACAATGTACATCATCGTGGTCACCTGGCCTACTTAAAATTACCCTTTTCTGGAAAGTTAGATGTGAATGGGCTGTCAAGCTTGCTTGAGCTAGAATTGAGCCATGGTTTTATAAGTAAATTCAGAAGGGCAAAGTTTCTTACAGATTACTTATTTTTCGCACGGAACGTATACAAGCAATTGTAATAAGAAAGACATAAAAACGCTGTCCAGGGTTATATAAGGTTGAGCAATCATAGAAACGACGGAATTTTAAGGTTGCTTTGACTACTCGAGAAGCGTTTTTGTCAATATCAGTCACAACTGCTACGGCAGCAGCCGCTACTGGAATTACACAAGAAATAAAGATATACCATAATGAATAGAAATCCAGATTTCACAATGTATACTCGCGAAAAAGGCCAAGGCTGTAAAAAAACGGTTGTTAAAAAAAAAAAGAGCAATGAAGGTGACGCAACACTAGATGATATCGCGAGAAAAGTTCATTCTTCAAAGAATTAGAGGGCAACATTATGCCACGTCCTGAAGTCCCGAGTAAGAAATTACTGGGCTCAAAGGGGAGCTCTGATGATCGCGTGAGCTTGAGAGGTTCCGCGATCCAAAATGTAGAGAGAAATGTCACCCAGAAGTACGCCGGTGCACCACACTGCACCAATATTGAGTGGGTAAAAGCGGGATATAACTTGAGTGCAGTTGTGTGACATCTATCGTCTTAACAATGACAGCTCTTTATGCGGATTGAATCGCAAGGTCACTCTTTGCCGTTATGCAAGTACAGCACTCATCACACCTCCCTTTCTTGACCAACACCGTTATTACCACAAAACACAGGATGGACGAAAGAAAATACATAAATGAAGTATATTCAACCGAGAACGCGCAACGGTGGTGAGATGTGTATCTCTGCTCCGATCGGCGTTTCGAGCAACCGAAACGACAGCGACGGCAAAGTCACCGTGAGAGTTGTTCGCCGTGTATAGCGTACCAAGCGGTGGAAAAAAAGCTTCGTGAAGCAATCATAATTTAGGTCTGTTCGATTTGGCCAGAAAGTTCGGAACTAGTTCTGTCCGAGTTCAGAGGAGTGCAGGAGTCGTGCAGCAGCGGCTCAGAACCAGTGCAGCCGCCGCGCTAGGACTGGCACTGTGATCGGCTTTCCGAGTGGAAGCCCAGAGTGTCGTCTGCATCTGTTGGCTCTTGTTTCTAAACGTCAAGTTGTATGCTATATTTATTTGTTCGTGGGTTGATGAGACAATTCGTGTTTCCTTAGTTTTAAAAATAATAAGGGAACCTTTTCTGTGATTATTTTTTTATTCGCGTGTACTAAAAACGTTTTCTGCACGAAATCTGTCTCTGTCTGCGTTTTTAACGGCCGTTCTGTTCCTCTCATTTTCATAAGCGTTCGTGTCCTTCACTTTCATTTAGCAATAGTAGATTCATTCCTAGTCTCTCGAGTCTCGCATTTCTACGATATGTTCGTGGCATCGGGATGATTTTGCGTCGGGAGTCACTGGCGGCAGCGCGCGGTCGATAGCGGTCACATCGAAGACGAAGGCCAAACGATAGCGCTTTGGCCAATGCAGTTATCGACGGTAACTTTGGCGTCAAGCTAAAGCGTTTATGCTGATTCTCAAGAAAGAACTGCGTGGAACTACCAAGGCAATGCCGATTCTCGGCGTCGTTTTTCCCAGGAACGTTAGTGCGCGTCCAGATACTAGCGGACAAAGCACGTACTATTATGCTCAGCTACGGGGCATCCGAGGGCCAATGTACTAAATCCCAGACCTCTGCAATGTATCGGAGTCGTCAGTACGCATCCAAGAGCAACTGAAGGCGGGGACTATCAAGAGTGAAATACCTTTCCCTTGCCGGTAAGGAAGAATATCAACACTGTGCATCCCCACATAGCATCAAAAACAAACAATTTACGTGATCCAGTATTTCAACACTTACCACAGGGAGCCAAACATACACGAGCAGGTGCCTAAAACGCTTTCAGAATATGATCTCAATTCCGCGTCCACTGCGGGTACGTTAATATTATAATTGGGAGGAAATGCAACCTCCATATCGGCGTTATTGTTAAACATCGCAGACATTTGAGTAAGAGCTGCGAAAAATTGCACCGCGAGCAGAGACGGACGAGGAGTGTCGTCTGCTATCGCCGTCTGCTCTTGTCATCTGCTTCTACACGGACGCTGAACTGACTCTGGAGCCGGTGCAAGATTTTGAGCAACTGGGTCTGAACTCGTTCATAACTGGGATGAATCGAACGCGCCAGTGCAGCGGCCGGGCAACTTCCGGTTGAATCGAATGCACCAGTTCCTGCACTGCTGAACTAGTTCAGCCAGTTCAGACGAATCGAACAGACCTACTGTCTTTCTTGCAGTGTTCCCGTCGTTGCTCTCGCATTGATTGCTCTGGACCCAACCGATACATATGTGGCAACCAGCCTTACAGAACAATAACCTGAATATTTCTTTGCACAGCGGGGAACTGAATGATGTATTGAAAATACAAGTGTCTCCAAGCGTTCTTTTAAAGTATGATGAAGAATTGAATAAACAAAATTGTAACAAGGATGGCTTGATAATATTAGTCTTTGAAGCCGGATTTGTGGTTCCGAGGCAAAACCTCGGCCCGCGGATCCCTAGTCGCGATTTGGAATCTCAGAACCTGTCAGACGCCTATTGCCATCAGAAGGCTTGAACAGAAGGTTTATTGAAAGCCTTTTGTTTAATCCAGAGTTCGGCAGTACGTCCAAAAGATTCCTAAGTAGCCAGAATGTCGTGTTTCTGCTCACTTCGTGGTCAGCGATGGAAATATTTTTGTTTGGTACTTCAAAACTCCCAAATCGCAAACTTGTTTTTCTGGTAGTGCATTATATGGACTCGATGGTTTGATTTTTCTTGTGCGGCACATTCTATATCACTTACGACGGGGGAATATATTTCGCCTTGAGAACAAAGATATTGGGTATGTTTGACATGGTCACAGCTGTCAGAGTTCTGAATGGCATCTACACTTATTGACTACATAAAATGTAAACTATCTATAATAGTATATTTGTTCTAGAAACTCGCCGAGAAAAACTGTTCGGCAACTTATGGGTCTAACTTTACGTCAAGTGTCACATTTAATAGTGAAATCGCAACAATGCTGTCCCGTCTTATTGGCTCAAAGCTTCGCGTAAACTCCCATAAAAATATTGTTTTCTAAACAACAATAACACATTACATGCTCATACATTTAGGTCGTGGGATAACTAAAAGTATTCCAAAACGCTCTTATTTTCCAAATACCTTTTTTTTTTTTTTTAAACGATCAAATTATGTTATGATTTCCTGGACGACTGTTTCTGCTACAGTAGGGAGATGAAGAGACGTTTTTAAAATGCTTCCGAACAAAATTTTACAAAGTCCCTTATTTAGTTAGAGATACTATGAAGATATTTTGGAAATTCTTTTTTTTTTTGTTAATTATTTCGCAACTCAAAACCGAAATGAGAAATCAAGTAGTGGTGACGTGCTTGGGAACCGGAGTGATGACTCAAAGTTTCCACCGTGCTTTCTTAGCACACCATAGAATGGAAAGTTGGGCTAGTTGTTTCGAACCCATTTTGAAAAACAGCCGTCCTCGCGTGATTTTTTCTGTATGTCTTCTTAATAGATAGTTGATAGTCAGCGGCTCGTCCTGTGTATTCTCTCCTTCTTGTCCGAATGTTATTTGCGCTGTTTTTAAAAATGAACACCATAGAACTTGTCATTATCAATTGATATTAAGTGTGTCACTGCACTCGTTGGCCACGAACGTGAGCTAAAATATTTGTCGACGAATTTCTAGTTGACAAAAGCATACCCCCGAGTTACGCATTGCTCGTGTCCAACGCGTGAGCTGGGTTCGGCTCACGTGCTTGGGGATCGCTGATGCATCACAGTGAAAAGGCGCAGAACTTTCGAGAGAGAATAGGTACCAACTAGTTCACTATATTTTCAAATTTTGAACCGAAAACGAGGCTTTAGGTTTTATTGTGATCGGGTATCAGTTTTAATTTGCCGCACTAAACGATATGCGATTTCTAAGGTTCGAATGTATCCAAGCCAAAATTTCATTTTATATTCCGTTTAAAAATGCAAATAGACTTCAAACATTATTCATCACCACAACGATGCTTTGTGGAAATGTCTATATTGTAATTAGATGCATCTTTAAATATTTTTTGAGTAATATGTGATAATTTCGAGGGCCACTCTAGCTTATTCTGGTGAGATTTTTTTTTTTAATTTGGTGTAAGAACAACTAATAAAAAAGAAAATATGCATGGGTGGCAGACAACGTCACACCGGACAGACAAGATACAAATGAATATTCTGCTTCAAAGAGCAAGCTAGAGATCATCCCATGGAATACTGCATACATCATTTACACACTCAGAATTTTAGCACAGCTCGTTGCTATTCCAGCGTCCTTTCTTTAGGCGTCTTTGAACACACAAAATCGTTACTTGCGGTATTACGATAAAAACAAAATATCCTGAAATGTCCTAAAATCACCGACCGATGTCCTCAAACAGCATAGAGTTTAAGCTGCCACTAAAAGATTCACCAAAAGGGAGGTGAAATAAAGATCGCAATATTGTGCGTCAAATAATCCAGATAATAAAAGAGTTAATCAAATATATCGTACCTGGGAACAAAGAAACTTGTTCGGTAGCCGCCTCCAGAGGTAGTTAACAAATGTAAACTCTAAGAGCGCAGCGAACACGAAGGAAGTGCACGATCCAATCCACACGTCCATGGCCTTGATGTACGACACCGGAGGCAGGTTCCCCTGAATGCCAGCTCCTTTAGACGAGATGGTCAGCAGCGTCGTCACCCCGAGTGTCACCCTGGCTGGGATGGCGTCCACGTCGAGCCAGAAGGACACCCAGGAAATCACCACGATCAAGGTCGTCGGGAGGTATGTCTGAACCATGTGGTAGCCCAAGGAACGTTGCAGGAGGAAATCTGCCTTAAGGCAGCTGTATTCCCCTAGATGGGGGAAAAATAAGGAGTGACAATTGAGTGTTGAATCGCTTGAATGCACAATGCACAGCTTACATTTAAGAAGGTACGTGACCAGAAATAACAGAGTGTTCACAACAATATCCTGGAAAGTATATAGTTGCCTGCTTTTTATGAGGAGGAAATCATTTTGGTCATATGTTCCAGTGTCTGCAGATATTATGTCGGAAAGCATTTCGCATATTTTTGTAGCGTCTCCATTTACCTACATTCATTGAACTTGTATTATTCACATTCATTACTTGTCCTCGAGAATTATATGCCGTTAATAACTTAGATTGTATAAAGTTTCTAGCATAACGACTTTCATTGTAATCGTAATATGTAATCAACTATAAATGTATGGTTTCACGCTGTCTCTGTCTAAGCTCTACGAGCTCCTATTGTGAGAACGAAAATAAATAATGTTGAGAGTTTAATAAGTCAACTTGCTGGGACGTTCGCTTGAGACTCACTGAAAAAAAGAACGCCATGGGATTTGGTTTTAAATATTTCTGGAGAACTACGCTGACCATGATATAAGTGTAACTAAAAATGTGTAGGCTCCACAAAAGTTACTGAGAAATGTTCAGCATTTGTGTGATTATGAGAATATGTTTCAGTGTAGGAGGAAGACTAAATTTCGTTACCTTAAAGGGGCCAATCCATGATATTTGATAGTTTGCAATTTTATTCAATCACCTTATCAGTGCTTCGGGCAAGAAAGAGAAACAAATAGTATCCAGGATGTATTAGCAAGTCATATTTTAATTCGATTAGGCAAAAACAGCTCAACACCACGTGGCGCTATTATCTGTTGAATACGCGCTACTGCGAATACAGTCGCAAAGTTGAAAAACATTGCTGTGGCTTAGCTCGGCTATGCCAGGATATACGTAGCGTGAGCTTAAGCAGCTCCCGTGCAGCGTCAGGCTTGGCTACTGCGCAACGGAGGTGCACAGCTGGGCACGCGGCGGCGCCAGTGCGTCTGCCGCGGCTATGACGTCATTCTCTGGAATGCGAAGACCGTCGAGGCGCGCGCGGTGGTGACGGCGGAGCCCGCGGCGGCGGCGGCTCCGGCACGCCAACTGTGCGCTGTGTGACGTCACTGCTCCTCGTGCTTGCGCAGCACGGAGCATGGCTCATTATGCGAGCCAGGCGAAACTGGTCAACCTCGGCCAGTGTAGCACACGCTCCAAAAGAAATCATGATTTAGAAAAGTCGAACAATAAAATGTATTTGATTTAAACAATATCGATTTTATTTATAATAAAGCTATATATATTTTTAAACCAAATAAATTTGATATGAACCAAAGGTATTTATTTAAATCGCTGTTTTAAAGATAGCAATCCCTTACTGCCGTATCTAGAGAGAGTTTCCGAAAAAAGACAACCGTGTTTTTCGAGCTAGGAAAATAAACTATCAGTCGCAGAATGGTCAAACTCCCTGAGATGGCGACGCTAGAGATTGGGATAGAACGGAAAAGTTTGAGAACAAGACGTTATTTTCATCAAAATTAATTTGAGAAAAAACTAAATTTTGTTATGAGCGACGACGTCAAAACAAGAACTGGCATTATATATGGTTATAGTCAGCGAGGAACGTCAGGAAACTAGAAGAACACGAGACACATGAGATATACTGATCTCACAACTCGATATTTCTCCCGAAGAGAAAAAGAAAACAAAATTACATAAAACCAACAGGCACTTGCACGTGACACGATAACTCCAGAGCGCGGTGGCGACGGCCCTACACATCTAAACGCTTGAAAAAAAAAAAAAAAAAAAAAACTTTCATTTTGGGAAGAGTAAGAAAAGGATGGCTCACGCAGTGCTCTCCCAAATCTTGTAACATATACGCGTCAGAAATTCCTCTGGAGATTTTTTTTCTTTATATCAAACAATGTCCTAACTTACATGATGTGAGATTGCTTACATTTATGTAAGCAATCTCACATCAGGCACACAAATTTGTTTGTTGAAAAGGACACGAAGAGGAATTTTGAAACGAATTAAGCAATTAGTAAAGAGCCCCAGGTGCATGTCGCTAAAGCCTTGTTTGTAATGCCCGTCTAGGAACCCTGACTGTTAGTGACGGTGCCTGTCTCGCCTCTGGCCACCACGAGAACAGAGGGGAAGGAGGAGCTCCCCTTTAACTGGGACTCTTTGTTCATGTCCCAGAGGTCGCTAGTGTCCATTTACAAGACAACAAAACAATAACCCTTCACTCAAAATTTGTACAAAAGCAGCTTTGGAGCTAGTTGCGGTGGCTCGATCGCTAGCGTACTTCGGTGGCTGGAACCGCTAGGACATCCCGTTGACGTCAGCCTCGCCGCAGCTTTCCTCGTCCCGAAACAATCTACGTCGCATTGCGCCAGATGTCAAGTGCTCTAGGCTAGCCGCTCTCCGAGTGCTTTTCAGGGTGTGCCGTTTATAACAAAAAATACAGCCATCAGGCTCAAAATACAAACTTGCGATTGTAATTTACTGATATTGTGGATCAAATTCAGCCCATTTATGAAAATAACGGGTATGTTTTAGGTTTAATCAAAGTATCCCTTAAACGCCTCCTCGATTGAGCGTGCTGCTTTGTGTCATGTTTTCCGCTTAAGAAGAAAAAAATATAAGTATATATGTCCTGCGGGAAATGATCGACACGAAGCAAGACAAGCTAGACGGAACTTGCAAATCATGCAGTCTTACCTATATGAAACTTTTCCTTGCACAAAGAAGTGTTCACTTTTTCAATTTCGAACTGAGGTAACTTCAAGTTGTCAAAGAGAACCACCGGTTGGCTTCCGGACCACTCCAGCAGCAATTCCTCGGTCGTCTTGGAAACTGCATGACAATGAGCAGGGCTGTGCGTTTCAGTAAAACGCTCAGGGTAGGGGTAACAGTGGAAGGGCCTCAAACCATTGCGTACATGAAGCAATCTCGATGCTGCAAACTTGGGAGTCCATCGGGTACCGGTACAGATCCATCATGCAGGAGAAACGGAGCTTAAGCCTGTAGACGCAAATGAAAGGGATTATTCAACGGCCTGCTGCAAGACCCCCAAAAGCTTTGATTGAATCCGCATTTGTATACAATGAAATCGATGGCTGCGCAATTCATTGCGTCTTTCCTTTTTTTTATTTTGTCTGCCTTTCATACAAGAATTGTTTACAGGCTTGAAAGAAGAAGTCGTAGGCACTGCAATCCACGATTCAGATCTATAAAAACATAAAAAAAAGGAAAATTAAACCATGCCGATAAATAAAAATATACTTTTCGTTTAGAATACGTTTCGTAGTTATAGACCGAGTACGATTTTTTTATTTAATGAATTGTAGCAGGATCTGAATGCATGTTCAAAATGAACGTTTTTACTCAGAGAAAACGTAATTTCCCCAAATCCTCCTGAACCCTTTTTAAAGCATTTCTGACTACAAACCATTTTTATTTTCAATTTCAGTGAGCCTTTTATTTACTTTTCTTCCCGCTGTTTGGAACAAAAAAATAGCGAAATTTTGAGCCGCCTTTTTCAGATACAAAATGACCCTCAAGGACAAATCTCCTGTTCCGAAAATTTGATGAGCTTTCGAATCGTTCGTTTTAAAAATAGTTAATGCTCATATTTTTTTTTTATGAGTTCCTGTTGTTTTAAGTTTGTGATATATTTGCTATTAATTAATGACTGAGTTCTGTCGGTACGTTTTTTTGCGAGATGTGGATTCAAAAAAATCCCACGCTTTTTAAATTACCATGGAAATGAATGCAATGCCCTTAAAATACTTTTTACGGATGGCATTACCTAGATCAGAAAGCCGTCAAAACGGCGATATTTTGAGCTTTACAGGAGTATGTTCTGAAACAACAATTAATAAGATATATTTTTTTTAAATATAAATATATCATCTCTTCTCAAAACTTAAAAATGGTAGTACAACGGCAAGTCAGCCTTTTGAATTCATACCCTGACTGGTCGAGATAACCGAACCTAGGTTTTCGGCCGCCATAGATAAACAATTGATTTCAGAAAGTTGAAACTCTGACGGACTCTGACGCTGGCGGTGGGGAAAAGATGCCAAACTTTGAGAACATAACGTTACTTCTATATAATATATATATATATATATATATATATTATGAAATAACTTTTTAGCTTCGGCTTTTCGAGTAGAACGGGATGTCTCAATATAAGCGTTCGCTTGTTTCCGAGCCCTGCAAGTGTGTCTCCGTGGCTTAGTCCTTGGCGTGTCTGACTCACAAACGAGGGGTCGTGGGCTCGATCCCGCTCCGCCCGATATTCTACGATCTTTTTTCTTTAAGGCTAATTAATTATAATGCAATTAAATACAAAGGTGGAACCAACCTGGACAACAATGACGAAAATTAGTTCTGGATAAGGGGAACAAGAGGGACAAAGGCACCAGCCACTAAGCTGTGTTTGGAGGTATGTGTTTGTACTTTGTCCCTTTTGTTCACCTTCTTCAGAGGTTATTTTCGGCAAATGAATAGCTTATCGACCAACCAGAATTTTCTGGTCCCACCGGCGCCTGCTTTTCAGCGACATGATCTCCCTAAAGCTAACGCCTTATTAAATATGGTACCTTTTTAGGGGAAGCGTCCACCGCAGACTAATCGAATCAAAACAAGACATTACATTGTGGGTACCTGTGGCATTTATTACATAAAAGAAACAACTAGACAGCAGAGCCAGAATAATTTCGTTTTTTGGTGACAAAATCGATGCACTAATCTGTGTGTCATTCTACGATGAACTAAAGGCCAAAGCCAGAGGGCACCAGGTTTCATCTCGTTTCACGTTAAACTATGGTATTGAGTTAGAGGTGGTCTAATAATATTCCTTTTAAGAATCCCAGTTTTCGGGGCTTTTTTTTTTGTTGCAATGTTAAAGGTGTCAGTCACTCTGTGCTGTTCAATTTGAACCACTGTCCTCCCATCCGCACCAGTGATCCAAGACGCAGGCACCGACACGTGCATCTTTACGAAATGGCTCGTGATTTGATCTGGCGGTCCCTAGCTTTTGCCGTTAGTCTATCGTAGGTTGGGACGAAGTATAAAAAAAAAATTCCACGGGCACCCTCGATAACGTGCCTTGGTTTATTAAAGTTAGATTTATGTTGACGTCGATTCATAGACGCATTTCGTTTTTCGCTTTTATAGTTGACCCAGGTCAATCCATGATTCAACAGCTTTCGCATCCCTTTCCCGACGCTAGTTCTTCGAGATTCTGACAGAGTTTTAGCTTTCTGCAATACGCAGCAGCTTCATTATTCGTGCTGAAGAACAGGATTACATTTTCTTTAGTAAGCATGGTATACTATGTTAATTATATTTTTTTTGTTATTTTAAATAGCCTAGTACGAGAAGGCGGTAAGTTATTTGCTCATTATTAACAGCAAAATATATATGAGAAGAATATGTGCGGTAATATAAATACGGGGTTTTCAGTTTCCGCTATCGGGATGGTATCTGAGGAAAATTGTTTGTAACATCATTGCCTTCAGTAAAAATATTTGGGATCGAGCGCACTTAGTCAAAACACACAATAGAGCAACAAACATGGAGACAACTTCGAAAGTTATATCTCCCAAATAACGAGAAAAACTACCACTTTGAAAGACACCTTCGTTCAATAAGTTTGCTATTTTTATTCAATGTAACGACGCTCATAATATAGAATATCGGATGGTTCTTCGAACTAGATAAGTAAAGCGGATCATAATTGTTTTTTTTTATTATTGGCGTTCAGAACCGGATTTTGGCGCTGTTGAAGAATGCAAGACGTTTTTCATTTGTCTGGTGTCATTAAAAAAAAAAAAGATATTGTAAGAAATGAACGCATTGCAGTTCAGCGAGTGCGTTTAAAATTATACAATATTATGTTATGTTTATAAAAATAGAAACTATCGACAAATGCCGTGGTTTGAAATCTTCTCAATATTGGTGTTGAATTTGTTTTGAATCCTGAGGGGTTGAATAAGGTTTTTATTTATATTGTTCTGCCACCATTAGAAAGGCATCAGCTGTTAGTAAATGCGACCGAATTAGTAACGAGAAGCTTTACTGATCAACTTATCGCCATATCAAAAAACAAATACGTATAATGCACTTCTTTTTTTGGAAGAGAAAAACACGGTAACAAGGGACAGGCATGAGTATTAGAGAAATCATAATTTATATTCTTAGTGTAATATCGTTTAAGTATGGAAATGTCTTGACCCAATAAACGCTTATTGCCAAATAAGGTCACAAAAGAACATGTCAGGACCACACATGTGTATATAAGAAGTATAATGCACTGATAAGAAGTTTCTTATAGCTTCCTATATCATCTTATATCACTTTATACGCCCTTATAAGGTTTGTATGATATGTATCTGAAGCTACTTAATCATATGCTTTAAATGAGCCAAAAACTGTATATTACATTTCAGATTTTAAACTAGAGGTTCTGATGTAATATGATTGTGTTTTACAGCTCACTATTTATCGGCTTCGACATGCTAGACTCAGCGTCCTGAAAACGATGCTCGTCTGCTATTCATAACATCATTAATATGGTATAATGACGAAGAGGGTGTTGTTGATATTTGCATAACAGAGTGGGGTGGTATGTTTGGTCGTATGTTGTGATGAATAATTAACACCAAATTATGTTACTCTCGTCCACTGTAAAGACGACGTCAAAGCTATTTATTTCCAAAAACTTCACAGGTATCTAACAAGGAACCCAGATTTGAATATTTTGTATATATTGAAGAGCACGCCGAAAGATAATGTGGCGAAAACCACCATTCCACATTCCATCGAGTTTCAAGTAAAACAAAAAAGAGAGGGTATATACTAAACCTCGTTGCCTATTTCACCTGTAAATAATAATGACACGATATCCTGTAATGAAGGTTTAAGATGCTGGAAGTATGCATTGTAAGCTAAGCAGCTTGCTCCAATACTACTGAAGTGACTTTTCTTTTTCTCAGTGTACCTTGTTCTGGCACCATTCGGGACAACTATCATCGATTCTCATCGTCTGTCAGATGCACATAGAAAATGTAAATTAAATAACTACCAGGGCATTAAAAATTACATCATAAGTGAATGGCAGTAGAGCACTTCATTCGGCAATTGAAAGTTCAATCCTGAAATTGTTTAGTTAAAATCATTGAAAAAATAACCAGATATTCTAATTTAGAATTATGGACTACTGAGTGTATAAAAGCTCACGAATTGTCTTGTCCACATTCTAAAAATGTGGGAAAAATATCTATAATTATGTCTTCCCTCACTCTATTGTGCAATTGTGTTTTCACTATTCGTGAGGAAATAAGACTACAACCCCATCGGCCCCCCTTACATTTTATTTCACATTTGTGATAAAATATATCCTTTCTCGCCAATATTGAGGACCAAGGATGTAAAGGTTACCATCGAGATGCACCTGCGATACCACTTCCAGTTACTCATAAAAATGTAGTTGAGGTGCGTATCTAGATACACGCTGAAGGAGCCTCAATGCATATCTAGATACGCATTGAAACTACAGTTATTTAAAAAGACATGTTGTATTTTTTTATAAAAACTGCAAATAGTAGCGAATGGTACCAAGACTTCGACAAAAAAAAAGGTCGCGAGGGACGTCGGTTGGGTACGAGCAAGACGAAGCTTTATAGATAAGAAAAGTATATTGTGGGCTTTACACATGATAAAAAATAAACATGTGATTAATCATGTACTTGATAGAATCAAGACTGGATTGAAAGATCGTCGTGAAATATGCTAATATACTTACGATCTATATAGGGATAAAGGGAAAGATAACATGGCCGTTTAAAGGCCAATGTTGCAGATGTGGAACTTAAGATAGCTTGGTTCAGCGAAAATTGGAAAAGCAGACAGCCGGTTGCATCCAGCAACAATCAACAACCGACGTGCCAAAGAAGGTCGATGTATGCCATGTCTTACTAGTTAGGTTAACCTGACAAATTGTTAAAAATCGCTTAAGATATTCTGTTTTACAAAATCATAAAATATACCGTCTCCGTGTCGAAATGTATTTTTCCAAATATTGAAAAAAAGCAAAATAATGCCTATTCATTTAGTAAGGGGATACAAAAGCACAATTTCGAAACAACTGCTTTATTGATGCGTTACAGTGTGTAAAATAAAAGTAAAATCCTCTGGTGGATCTTTAGGGAACGCGTTAGCATGACATTTTGGAAACGCAACACACTCCCCCTTCGGTAAAAGCTAACGCTGACCGCTTTACTTTTCTGTTATGGCTTATTTTTGGCTTTCACTTTTGCAATATTTATTTTTTACTGCCTATTATTGTTTTTTTCCGGCGCCAGTGTTAGCGTTTCTCAAAGGGGGACGTGTGTGGCGTTTCCCAAAGGTCATCATAACGCATTCCCAAAGGATACACCAATAGATGTTCCTTAAATGATTTGCCGCCTATTTGTAACACACTCCATGTGTGCACTAGCCAAGACATACGCGCCCCGCTCACCTGCATGTTCAGACTCGCCCCAGCATCCGTACGCCCATTGGCTTCTGCCCCGTGACGTCACATCCCTCTACCCTTTGTCCCTCACTACTCTCCTCCTCACTACGCGACGTGCTTCCCCTTCCACTGGTTTGTCCAGAGACGGACGCCGTCAGTTTTTCCCTGTCATCTGAATACTAGCGCTAACGCACTCTGAAAAAAAAAAAAAAAATGCAGTCCCTTATGGACCTTTAGCAGCCTGTTATCTTTTCTTATTTCCCTTCTCTATTCGCCTTTAGAACTAGTACCTCGTCCAAGTTTTATCTGTTATAGTTTTTCTTTTTTTTTCTATGCTCTGTTTGCCTTTAGAACCAGTGCCTATACAAAGTGTTTGTCTGCCATCTTCGACCGCAGTTTAGTGATTGCGGAGGTGGTGCACGCGAAAAGCGCGCGCCACTGCCGCAATGCTCGGAAGTGCCAATTAAATATTAAGAACACGCGTTTTAATGGCGGCATGAGTTTCAACTCGACTTTTAGTAGGCTCGTTGGTTTATAGTTGACCAATAAAATAACGCAAAAAACAAGGTCAAAAAGGCACACAAACGACAAGACTCGAGCTGACTTTCAACTCTTTTTTTGCAACATCAAAACAACGATTAGTATACCAAAGCAGCGAGAGAAAAAAACAAAAAAAAACAAATAAAAAAGTAAAAAAATGAAACAGCTATTTACCACGTGTCAATCCAATGAGGTATCACCATAAAGAGAGTACACTTTTGTTAATGAGGCACACCAAAGGCACGCTGACGAACTTGTCTCCAGCCTTTCTGATAACAAATCGCTTCCATTATTTATTCTCATGACATGTTATGTGCTCTCTTCAAGAACTTTGTCATTTTCAAAAGCGGTTCACACACACAACGCTTGCAGTGCTCACCAGGATTACTCCCTAGATAGCTTCGTACCGATAGACTATGTTCGCGAGCTCTGTTATTGGAATATTGACCTGTTTGTCAAGTTGTAAATGCGGGCACGACTAAAAGGAACTTCATACGCAACCCCACTTTTGCAGTCAGCGTTATAAAGGCACGTTTTTTTTTTTTTTTTTTTTTTTTTTTACGGTTTGAATAATTTTACGCCCAGTAAGCGATAGACATCTTTTGCCAAGTTTGCAAGGAGATTTTTCTTTCAGCACACCTTCCAGCTACCTTTTCAAGATTCCGCGAAACGATAAACATATCAGGCAAAAGTGTACTAACTTTTTGTTGATATATGAGTTCTGTTTTTTTTTTCTGGGACCCTTTAACGTGAAAGGGGAAGCGTTAGCGTTTACCAAATTGAAACGTAGGTGGTGTTTGCAATGTTATTCATAAGAATTCACCAATATCTCCTTGAAATATTTTAACAAAAAACTGATCATGAATGCTGACAACCATTGACTTCGTGTTGAATTCCAGGAGGGTTAGCAAGTTTTCACAAATTAATGCCAACCTATATTTCAATGCTTAATCAGCAGAAAAAAATGTCCAATGCGCGAAAACACACGCCTACATGTATAGTGACTGACTCAAATTAATTTTAGCTGTGGCCGCATTCATAATGAAAAAAATAAAAAAAAACAATTCGGCCCTTCAATGACGGAGCTCGCGAGCATAGTGATTCGGTACGAAAAAGCCTAGGTGGTCATCTTAGTAAGCACTGTAAGTGTCGTGGGTGTGAACCACGTTTGAAAATGACGATGTTTTTGAAGACAGCAAAGGACAAGTCAGATTGAGAAATGATTGGGGCAATCATTATGAGGAAGGCATGAGAGCAACGTGTTAGCATGTCCTTAAAATGTGTCACTGAAAAAGAAACACCTTTTCTGTACGTTCTTATCTGATGCAATTCGCACGCAGTGGATAAGTATTTAAATGTATAATTTTTATATTTGTTTTATTTATTCCTTTTTTTTCCTCATCCGATGGTATATATTGGTTGGTTTTACGTTGCAATGAACTCAGTTGGAAGTAAGCACCACTCCTCTCGTGTGTGTGTCTTTTTGTCCTTGTCAGTTTGCGCTATTATACTTGTGTCAAACTACAACCTTGATACATTACAATTTTTTTAAGACAGTTTAGTGTATTGTATTAGCACTTGCTCCCACAAAAAGCTTAAAAACAACACTTGAAAAATAAAAAAAAGCTCTCTCTCTCTTTTTAAAACCACTTTGCTCGTCTCACAAGGCTTTTTTCATACTCGAAGCTCACATGCGTTCCTTTTAAGTGTTTACACTTGTGTTTGCCTTGCACCCCCCCCCCCGCCCCCCCCCCCCCCCCCTGTTTATTCACTCAACCTTAAATTGTCGATGACAGACGGTAGAAATTATGAAGTTCTTTTTTTTCTTATTTCTTAGAACCTAACGAGGAATGTACTTCGTTTCTACTTTTCGGTAGCGCCTACGACGCTGTGTTGAGTTGACGATCACATGCTGTATCGTGCTGTCCAAACTAACGTGCTGGTTCAGAAAGCACGGAAAGCAAATAAGACCGCCTGAATATATCTCAATGTTATTACCTCTGTCTGACTGTCGCAGGCATAAATTTGTTTCTGGGTCACTCAATATAAACAAAAAAAAACTACATAAATAAAAGCATAACAAAATAATAATTGTGTCTCTAAGGAGGCTTTAAGTTGTTTCCAGGTAACTCAAGTTCAATTAATAACTAAATTAATGCATAAACATGTGCCCTTTGGCTCTTCCTCAGAGCATGATGACCTAAATTTCTTACTTGCTATAGTTCGGCTAAATAACCAAAAAGGTAATTGGGCGCAGAAACTAATTTCACTAAGTTACAACTTGTTGGAAAATGTACCTCAACTCCAGGTTGACGGAAGGAAAAAAAAAAAGTACCTCGCTGTGAACGTTAGGTACAACAAAAGTACCTAGTTACCAAGTTGCAGTTGCTTATACCTCGGTACTTTACAACACTGCAAAGGGCCATACATTGCAAATATTGCAATGTCTCAAACAAACATTGTTTTAATATATTTGTTTTATCATTTTCAAATACATGTATAGGATCATTCACCTGAGCATGTAAAGAATTTCCCCGGAAGGATTGATCCGCACAAGGACATTGGGCACAGTCACATACTGGAATTCGGCGTGTTTGGCGTTGGCAAAGAACACTTCCGGCTTCCAGATCATTTGCACCAGTTTCGGGTCATTCAAGTCGAGCGGACGAGATAGCGTGGACTTCCGAAGCCTCTCGTCGATCCACGCCTGGCGCAAATATAGATCCACCTCGTAATCCTGCAAAAAAAAAAAAAAACACACTTCAACCGTAATCCCTGTCTTGCCGATTCATGCTAATTCACCCGCCAGACAGCTTTATGAAATTTAGTGTAACACTAGTGATTGAAAACCTTCGAACCGGTAACATCACACGACTTAAACTTTATAATTCCCATCCTTGTCTTCGTATCGTTAAGGAATATGCAAATTACTTGTGGTTTTCAGGAAGCAATTCACGAAAAAAGCGCAATCAATGCGTCAGTTGACGCATAACGGAATGTTTTGAACCTTTTAAATATAGTCTATCAAATGACAATAGATTGTAATAATTCCTGCGAGCGGTCGGATGAACGAGAATAAATTCTCGAATTTAGTTATGAAAATCACTGAAATTAAAATATGTTAAGAAAATCATAATGACTGTCAGGTGAATAAAACAAAAAACAGGACTCTTCTCATTATGTTTATTATGCCTGTGCCTGAATGGTTCTACAGAGAGGTAACTGAAATAATGATTGTAGCCCTTCCATAACCATATATGACTGTTGCGGGATGCACATCCTCCACGTCTGTTCTATGCAAAAGGATATTTTCGCTATATTCCTAACCCCGAAAAAGGACAATCTGCGAATGCGTGTTGTGCCAGCATATATAAAAGTTTCGGTCTCCACATAAAGACACGACAATGTATCATATGCGTGAATGCTATTAATAAAGTATGATAGCAATCCGGTGGTAAAATAGTAAAGCTTTTGTTCTGTTTAAAAAAAAAGAATAAAAAATAAAAAAATAAATAAATGCAGTGCGTTCTGCTTTTTGTTCCTCCGTCAAAAAGGGGTTTGTTAGCAAATACACTGAAAAATATTGTTGCATATTTTTACATCCTGTAATATACTTGTTAACAACATCTGTGGTTAGGGGTCCAAGAGTTGCTTGCTTATCGATGTATAATAAAAAATACTGAAATTAACCAATATAAGAAGTATTTTTATAGATGCTTCTTCTTGTATATATTTCTCAGAACTATTAAATTTACTTTTATTTATTAATTAGTCAAGGAATGTTATATTGGTTTGTCATTTTTTTTAACCTGGAAATGACATAGTCTCTAATACACGATACACGTATAGTTGGTAAGAGATCTGACTTCCGGCAAGCGAAAATTAAAGAATTAAACTTCGAATTTTCAATGAAAGTGTATAGATCCCGGTTCCGTTATTACCAAAAAACACGGAGCCCCAACGACAGCCCGAGGATGCTTCTTGTAAACATTTTGCTATCAGAGAAATACCTCTAAACAAATGTCATAGTAAAATTTGAATACTCAACTTTTAAAATGTTCCCGAGGAATAGCTATTATAATGCATATGCGGCTTCAGGCCGAACGTATAAAATGCAGTATAATGCAAACATTTGCATTGACTGTTGCACAGCGGAATGACATGCTTGAGCTTTAGAGCGGAACTCCTGGGCGCCCATTCCCGGCTTGATCGGCGACGCCGTCGGCGTAACCGCGCGTTGTATTATGGGACGGTTTTTATAATGACGTCACACGTGACGTCACGTGTGAGATTACGAGGGTCACGAGTTACATCTACGTGTGACGTCAAGAGGGTCATGAGGGTCACGAGGTTTACGAGCGACGCCACATGGTGCCTACATTTGGTGGGAAATTTTCCCCCTAAATATAACGGGGAAATGTTTCCGCCAAATTTAGCGGGCAATTGTTTCCGATAAATTCCACACGGAAATTTATCCGCCAATTTTTCCGCTAAATTTAGTGGGAATTTTTCCCGACAAATTTAGCAAGGACATTCCCCCCCCCCCCCCCCCCCCCCCAACTTAGTGGCGAAATCTCCCGATAAATATAGCGGGGAACTTACAGAGAAATTGTCCCACAATTTCCCGTTAAATTCTTATCTTTACCCTTCCCTCCTTTCCGTACCCTTCCCTCCTCCTCCTCAAGAGCTGCGCTCTACATCGACATTACTGTAGATAGTAACCGTCTTTCATTTTTTTTTTCAAACGTCTAATGAGAAATCTTAAGATAACAACAGAAATCTAGTTTATGGCAAAGTTGAGTGCCATAAATTACTAAGTATAAAATCTTGATTTTAGGAAAAATTAGGCCTATTATTTTAGAATCATGAAATCAACCGTATATTACAAAAGACATTCTGCGTTATTAATACAGCATTGATCTTTTGAAAAAAATATAATCAAACCAACAAAGAGTATATGCAGTCGTAACAAATCTAGCTACTGTTTGCTTCTAATTCACCCACCAGTTAATTAAAAAAGGGGGAGGGGGGTAGAGGGGAACATAAATAGCAATAGGCAACAAATACACTAAGATATTAATATAATAAAGCGCCTTGAGGAATGCGTGAATGAGAGCTGAAAACATATGTTGAATTATCTTACTGGCTATAGTTTTCCTGATGCGATATTTTTTGTTCAACTACTCCCTCCTATAGAGCGGTTAGACGTAGACTACGGCGGTCTACCTCTCCCACATTATCAAGTTTCTGTTGTTATTAACGTAAATTCAAGTTCGTGCATTCTGCCGGAGGCGCACTATAAAGAATCCCTCGATCTTGTGAAATTCGTATATCGGGTAGAAGGGCAGGTTTACGTACGATTAGTCACGGAAACAACAAAACGCGCTCAAGCAGTTAGAGGCCCCGGGAAATTTGACGGCCCTCTCGGTAGGGCGCAAGTCTGAGGAGCAATTAGGAAGAATGCACTCAAAGTCTTTGTAGTGCATTGGTAATAGGATTCTATTACGCTCAAAACTACTCCGTTTATAACTAGCAGGGGGAGGCGCACCACCGGCCGGTTTCACTCATTGATCTGTGACGGTATTACTGACCCTCCACGCGTCTACTGAAGCGTGCGACTGACATTTCACCAGCTATTTATATTTTACTGTTCAACTCTTTGCTAACATATATTTCTTTTTACGAAGCAGGAACGTGTACCGATTTTGTCAGCTCTCTTTATCTATCGTCTAGAAATGAAAGTAAATATTACATAAAATATTTGTTATACCACTGACACGTCAAAACAGGTACGAAGCCATATCCATTTAGTTCTTAGCCTATAAAATATATGCCATTTTTGCTCGAAGTTCATTCAAAATAAGCCGATAGTGAAAAAGGGCCAATAAGTCAGTAGGAGTGCGTATCTAGGACCGGCGACTAATTTTCTAGAATTAAGGTATTGTAGAGTCGCAGCTCTTAAAACCTGCTTCACTCAAAAAGAAATCATTCGTGCTCAGAATTAAAACAATGGTCGCGCCACAGAACCGAGCACAGTGAGCGCGAGTTGCTCGTGCAGACTCTCGCTCTGGCTCGCTCAGTGGATCTCGGGAGCCGGTACGACAACAATAAAAAGAAGAAGAGATGCCTTTCGCCTAAGCTCCGGGCCGGACGTCTCAAATTCTTTTCCGGCATTTTCGAACACCGCCGACAAATTGGTGACCCGGACGTCCGACCAACATGGACCGGAACACAGGCAGCTCTTCCAACGGCGATGGAACCTTTTCCGCCACCCAGCTCCGCCTTCCAGCTTTTTGGGCGAAGAATCCTCGGGCCTGGTTTGCGCAAGTGGAAGCCCAGTTCCACTTGCGCCGCATAACCACACAGGAGTCCCGCTACTACCATGTGGTTTCTGCCCTACCCCCCGAAGTGGCCGATGAGCTGGATGACGTCCTGGCGCTACCTCCTCCGGAGAACGCCTATGACCACATTAAGGAAACCATCCTCGCCAGGAAGACAGCATCCGAGGCATCGCGGATACAACAGCTCCTGACCACCGAGGAGCTGGCCGACCGGCGACCCTCCCAGTTGCTTCACCGCATGCGCCAACTTCTAGGTGAGCAAGCTCCCGATCAGAACCTCCCAATTCTACGGGAACTGTTCCTTCAACGCTTGCCTCAAGGAATCCGCATGACCCTTGCACCAGCTACGGACCTACCACTAGATCGCCTCGCCGAGATGGCGGACCGCGTTGCCGAATATGCTGCGCCAACCTTGTCAAGCGTTGCGGACAACGACCGCCAGTGCTGTTCTATCCGAGCCCTTGAGGCCCGCGTGGATGCTCTGACAACCGCCATCGCAGAACTCAGCACAACGCGTAGACACCCACATCGTCCGCCACGTCGTAGTCCGTCTCGACGCCGCAGTTCTTCTAGACGACGCGATTCTTCGCAACAACGCGCTAGCAATTCCTGCTGGTACCACCAGAAATTTGGCAACCGAGCTTTGAAGTGCCAACAGCCATGCAATTGGCAGGGAAACGCCCCGGCCAGTCACTAGAGGCGGCGAGTGACGTTGGCCCAACAGCAAGCCGTCTCTTTTTCATCACCGAGAAAATCTCAGGAATACGCTTGCTAGTTGACACCGGAGCGGAAATGTCCATCCTTCCGCCAACGCCAGCTCAAAAACGACACCCATTACCCGGCCGCCATCTAGTTGCAGCAAATGGCTCAAACATCCCTACCTTCGGAATGCGCTCTGTGACTTTGGACTTGGGGCTACGCAGAATTTTTCGGTGGATCTTCACCATCGCCGACGTTACGTACCCTCTCCTAGGTTCAGACTTCTTGTCGCACTTCGACCTAGACGTCAGCGTGCACCACCGATGTCTCATTGACAACAAGACTCGTCTCGTTGTAAATGGCGTAGCCACAAACCAGACTTCCCTTGGGATCAAAAACATCCTCCCAGCTTCAGGATTCGCAGACATCCTCGGCGCATTCCCGGAAATTACAATGACCTCCAACATGGCAAAGCCACCGCAACATGGGGTGACGCACCACATCATCACCTCTGGCCCGCCTACCTTTGCACGCCCTCGACGCCTATCTGGCGAACGCCTCAGGATAGCCCGCCAAGAATTCGAGCATATGCTCGAGTTAGGCATCATCCGACCATCCAACAGCGCTTGGGCAACGCCTCTACACATGGTGCCCAAGAAAGATCCGGGCGACTGGAGACCCTGTGGGGATTACCGGG